AACCAGAAAGGTCCCATCAAGCAAACTAACACCTGGGAATAACAACAATGCATAAAACTATCCTTCAAGGTAGTTTTCGGGTTTAATGTAGATGCTGCTACCAGCCTACAAGGTTATTCGTTATTCCTATCTTCGATAATTTTTCAAGCTGAGAGCTGTGATGCAGCTTATCAAAAGTTTTTCTCATATTCAGTGCAGTATCCTGAATAAAGCGAGAAACGGTTAGAGCAACATCAATGTTTGAACCCTTGAGTTCGATTTTAGCGAACTGCTCTCTGCACAGAAGGTCGTTTGATAAAAGAAATGATAGAAGACTTTTGTAAGCAATTGTTTCGAATATCTAACTTAAACACACATAATAATCAAACGGCTCCGTAGTTAGAAATTGATGAAACGTCCACGCTTTTATGTATGGATCTGATAATTGCGAGTTTCAGCATATCTGGAAGAATTCTGGATGAATAGGCGGTTGAGAAATTCTTAAGAGCATTCTGGCGACGACACTACTCTGCCGCTTTGTCGGTTGTCTCGACAGGCAGTTTGCATCTTGCTTACAGTCAAGGAATCTACTTCGCCCTTCACGAATATTACTTGTCCTTGCTATATTTAGAAAATTTATGTCTGTATCGCTTTCTTTAGTTGTGGGCGAAATCAGCGGATCTAGTACCGCACCGGTTAATGTTCCACAGACATATAAAATCAGCTACACTACAGGAACAAACTATAATTGGTCTTCTAGTCTATCACCATTTACAATGACATCAAACGGTCCGAATGGTAATATTATATTTGATACGCCTGGAGTTGGTTTCGTGTACTGTACCTTTACCGACCGTAATGGCGCTCGACAAACACGAATCTATCATGTCACGGTAACAGGTGGTACGTAGGCGACACTGTTCTGTGTGTTACGAGATTTCCAGCGTTGCTAGTAACTAATTCCAATCGAATAAAAGTTTAGTAATCGAGATAAAAATGGCGATACTGGATTCTTTTTTATGCTTGGATACTGGGAGTTACTATATTACCGCATTCCAACTCCCTTCCCAAAGAGATAGATACATGTTGGGCCAAAATCTTCACGCCCGACAGCGTGCTTCCAATCACTTTTACCGCAATACTGGCTTGCAATCTTCCTTTTTTCTCCGTCGGTCGCCGATATTAGGTGTATCTGATCGAAGGTTTCCAGATGGAGCCAGGACTGTAGACTGAGTGTTGTGGCAGTTGAGTGGACTGTTATATTTCTCTCTGTTTTTCAGCAACTTCGACATCTACAACGAGTACCACAGGTAGGTTTTCTGAGTTACATCGTAAGAAACTAAGGTGAACAAAGGGGGGTGTTTTGAGCAGGAAAGCCTACATTAATACATGGTACAAGACACTAGAGGACCTTGCACAGTGACCATTCACATGCACATACAAAAGAGCAACAGAAAAACAACAACATCGAAAAACGAAAAACAAAAATAGGTAGCCACGAACCAGAAAGATCCTACCGACTAGAGTAACAGCTAAGAATAACAAGAATGCATGAATCTATAGTTGGTGGTGATTCGCCAAGTTACTTTTAAATGTTTTCAGGTTTAGTGTTGACCTTAGTACCAGGCAAGGTTGTGCGTTATTTCTATCTTCGCTAATTTTACAAGTTTAGTGCTGTGATTCACCTTTTCGAAGGCTTTGCTCATTACAGAGTCCTGAATACAGTGAGAAACCGTTAGAGTAGCATCGATGGTTGAACCGTTGCGTTCAAATTGCAATTACCGAAATAGCAGAGGATTTTTGTAAACATTTTTTTGGAATGTTTTACGTTATCGCAAACAATTGCGAAACGCAGTAGTTAGAAATAGAAGAAGCGTCCAGTCTTTTATGCATGGGTCTGATAATTGCTAGTTTCGCCTTACCTCGAAGTATTCTGGAATGAATATATAGTTTATGTATTATTATACTTTATTTCTCTATCGCTTTCTTTAGTTGTTGGCAAAATCAGCGGATCTAGTACCGCACCGGTTAATGTCCCACAGACATATACAATCAGTTACACTACAGGAACAAACTATAATTGGTCTTCTAGTCTATCACCATTTACAATGACATCAAACGGTCCGAATGGTAATATTATATTTGATACGCCTGGAGTTGGTTTCGTGTACTGTACCTATACTGACCGTAATGGCGCTCAACAAACACGAAGCTTTCATGTCATAGTAACAGGAGGTACGTACGCGACACTGTTTTGTGTGTGCCATAAATTCAATGATTTAAAGAAGAAAGAGATTCAGGATCTGAATCTGATTTATTTCGTTCTAACATCACGAGCGTGCAGAAATGGGGAAAAGCTAGTACAAGACGCTAGAGGACCTTGCGGTATGACCATGTACACACACATATAAAATAGCAATAAAGAAACAACATGAGCCAAGAGTGAACTCGAATGCAATTGTGTTTTGCACAAGTTGCGATGTCGACAGACTTTGTATGTGCTCAATAATGACAAAAAGCGCTACAACTGTAGAAGAGCTCATAATAACTCTTTTCAACACAATAGACAGCGTATAGACGGTGTACAGATACTAAAGTAAAATCTGTCTGAGGTGTAGAGCAAGAAGAAAGAAACATTAAATCTTCGCATAAGTAAGCGAAGCTATTGTTCTCCTTTCATCAAAAGAGATATCTTATAAATTCATGGTAGTGTATTTATCTTTCTTCTGCTTTCTTTTCGGTAATACAATCTCAAGTGTCAATCACAATCTCAAGTGTCAATAACTTCATGTCTGCTTGAAAGAATACGAGAAATAAGGGTTGAAACAGGAGTTAAAAGCGAGAAGCAAGAGTGACTAGTAGTAAACCAGGAAATATCCTCTCGAGTTTAGAGCTGAATCTTAATAGCTATGAGTAGAAGAATGCGTTAAAGTGCAGCTGAGGGCGATTTTCTTGCGTTGGGTTATATGTTTTCGCGTTTAATGTGTGTGTCAGGTCAGTTTGTAACTACTATGGTTTTGAATAAAGAGTGCCCCTGACTTTTTTCAGTATAACCTTTGATGTTAAGTAGGTACATATTGATGATTCTGTATCTATACATGCGATTAATGTGTTATAATTAATTATCATTTTTGACTGAGCTGGATATAACTTTTGGCACGTTGTTGTCTCGTTCCGTGACAGGAATCGATAGATATCCGTGAGGTATTAAACATTCTAAAAGGATTCGGGTTGATGGTTCTTGAAGACACGGTTTTCTGCAAAAACAGTTTTTCAAGAAGTCTGAGAAATAATCAAAAGCAATCACGGGTGAGTTACAAAATGTTTTTTGGGAAATGAAAAAGCGTTTTGAAAAAAGTCTTGCCAGAAGTGATGCAACAGCGGTGCTTGATGGACAAAACGTTTGCTTCGAAAAATATGCGCAATGGTCGATTGCGGTGAGTAACGTGGTCTGATTTTAAGAATTTTCCTCGGTATGTTCTAAATTCCAAGAGTGTTATTCTAGTGTGCTTTGTTATTGCAGGATAATTGTTGAATTGTCATGTCAATTTGAAAAGGACGATTGTGTTTGAATGTGACGGATGGCAACATGGCGACTACATAACCCAAAGTGTTCTCTACTATTTTGCGCAAGACCGATCTCACTATCTATTGTGGTTCTCGAATGGTAGGTATTTTATCCGACCAAATGGTAATGAATTTCGTATGACTCAGGAAAATGCCTGCCACTCGAGAATCCCAATAGAGAGTGACGTTGGTCTTCTCAAAATTCTAGAGAACACTTTGGGTTATGTAGTCACCATGTTGAAATTAAAAATCCGTCGCAGATTCAGAATCTGGCAATCTCTTCATTTTTCATCAGTCAGGTGCAGCGCGTGAAAAACGAAGATTTTTAGTACCAAATATGGGTGAAACCGAGTAAAGCCTTCTCTACAAAATGCTCAAAATCGGAACTTTCTATCTCTTTTCGTTCTCGGGCTACTCAAAAAACATCCATGGCCACTCTGTTGAGAAATCCATAGTAGATACCACAGTTGCCTAAAGCCGAGTAAAAATAACTGCTTATTGGTAACATTTTGAAAAGAGAAGTACAGAGATTTGTAGCGCTTGGAAATTTCTGTCGAATGACGTATTACATTATCGTTTCCAATAAATCGTTAGTTTGTAAATAAAAGTGTAACCCACCAAAGTGATATTAATTAGTATTTATTAGCATGATTAATTATAAATTATTTTCTTAAGAAAACTTCTTGTAAAACGTTTTTCGTCAGACCATAACAGCAGATCATTGGCTATCAAACCATGCAAGAGCGACATTTCTGCAATCATTTTTAACCGAGCTACAAGCTTTGCAAAATGCAGACTAACCATCCAAAGTCTAATTAAAATTTAAACTAAATTAATTAATAACTCTGGAAATACTTACCAGTTCATCGAAAAAACTTAAGGATATATATAGTCAGGTGTCCTCTTTAAACTGGGATAGTTCCAGGACACATATAGGGGGAGGACTCCCCCTTAATGTCTCCTTATTTCTGTAGCTATGGGCTGACAATGAACGTTTAGAACTTTTCTTGTAAATTGTATAACTTTGTAAAGAAAGGTCGTATAGAGTTGGGAAATGTCTCATTATAATCAGAAACTTACGAGCTCCAAGCATACTTCATCAAAAAGTGGTTTTGATTATTTTTTAGAGTTCCTGAAAAACTGTTTTTTCAGAAAATCGGGTCTTCAAGAGCCATGAATTCGAATCCTTTTAGGGTATTTAATGCCTCATTGAGGTCTATCGATCCGTATATAAATCTTTGGAATCGGAGGGATACATCTCGGGAGGTTCCCTCGTAAGTGGCTTTTGTTCAGGAAACGTCCACTAGAATATGACGTAATTCTTCTAATGACGTCTTAGGATTGATCCGACTTAATACAAACATCTTAACATTAACTTAACTTAAACCATCTACAATATCATTAACCATTGCCGCTTCTTCAACATTTTCATCAAATACTACGTGTAGTAACCTTCATTTTGCAAAATAATAATCGTTCACAGATTCATTGTTTGTGAATGTACGATATTTTAGATCACGTAATGATTTTATTTGATAATTAGTTGGTCTAAATGCTTGCTTTAACAGTTCTTTCCATCCTGCCGATGTTGTTAATGTTGACCGTTTGGTTTCAGCTAGTGTCGTAAGCCAGGTTAAAGCATTATCTCTGGAAACTAATGGAGGTACTTTCAGTAGTTCTTCGTCTGTTGTATGACTATATTGTTTGATAGCTGAAACTTGTTCTACCTATTGATCTATATCTTCACGTTGTCTTCCATGATACGTTGGTAAATCTGATGCATTTGTAGATGCATTATTACAAATCATATTTAATCTGATGCATTGGTAAATCTGATGATGTATTGTTGATAATGCTGGGGATGGCGTTATTGTTGTATCATGAAGTTTTATATTTGGTTGACGAAATAGTGAAAATTGATGTGTAAGCTGTAGTTATGGTTGTTGTATAATATGAAATAATGTCGATTGTTCCGAGCTGCTCAGTGTTCTGTGCCGTGATAAAAGTTATTCAATGTTGGGTGTGATTTATTATGATGTATTTGGGTTTTGTACGACATGCTGTTGACTGAAGAAAATCACGAGTATACATGAAGACATCAGAATGCGCCGCACCTTCACCAAAAATGTAACGATATCTTTTTGTTTACCTTTATCTCGAGTAAAGAGAAGACTTCGATCACAAAAGAACCTAAAATCGGAAAGGTTTGATCATTAATTGTTCTTAGAATTGTCTCATTCGTTCTCTAAACTAGACTATTTCATTTTTGTCACAACCAGTAGTATGGCGTTAAACACATTTCAGAATATTTGGAGTTCCTCTCTCTTTTCAATCGTTACACTTCAACTCAAGAGTTCGGCTACTGATCCAATTGTTAAAATTTCCATTACAGGGCTGCGAATCAGCGAACACTTTCGTTATGTAAAGACGCCTACGAAAAAACGACGGCCCATCTCCAAAAAACCAAATAATCACGCCGAAGCACAAACAGAACTCAGACCAACCATCGAAAAAACTAACTCAACCAGAACTCTGAACAAACTCAAATGACGGAAAATTTCCCAATTAAAAAATTTGTTTTTCAGAAATCCAAGCTTCGCAAATCACAAAACAATATGTTTTTCGTTTAAACCTACCAGAAAAATCCACATCAGAAGACAGCTCCTAACCTCGGAGATGCAAGCGTGCTCAGAGAAAACTTGCCCTCTGCGAACGACGATAGTTGGAGAGCCAGGACTTCCAGAATTTCGTAGAATGACGTCAGGACTATCTAGGCACGCCAAAAATTGCTAACATTGTACATTAGGCTTCTAAGATCGGAGCTGGTCTACCGAAGATCGTCTGCAAAGTCAGTGCTTGAAACGTTTTCGAAAGTTGTTTCTGCTTATGAAAACGTCCGCCAAACCGGCCTACCGATGAGCGAAAACCCGAGGTCTCTCTCTCATGCCTATCAATAGTTACTCAATGTATTTTGGAATCGATAGCGGATGTATCAACACATACCAACTACATTCCGAAACAGAAAGATACATGTTGACACAAAACGTCCATGACCGACAGCCTTCTTCCACTCATTTTCAGCTCAATAATGGCTTGCAACCTTCCTTTTTCTCTTATGCGCCGATATAGGCTCTATATACTCCAAGGCTTTCAGACCTGAAGACAAGACTGCGGACAGAGTGACGTGGCAATTGAGCGTACTATTATATTTCTCTCTGTTTTCAGCAGCTTCAACCTCCACCACGCCCACGACCACTACAGGTAGGTTTGTCTTGCGTAGAAAATACATCAGTCGAAATGCTGTCGAATGGGTTTAATCTAAGAAACTAACGTGAACCAAGAGGCGTATGTTGAGCAAAAACGTGGGCTGCATTTTGAGCTGACAGCTCGACAAGAACATGAATCCGACTGCTCTAATTCATCGTTACACGTTCTCATTATCTCTAGCACCAACCCACACTACGACATCTACGCCAACCGCGACCGCAAGTAAGCAGGTTTTTCTAGGTCTTAGACAAATGAGCTAGTGCAGGACGCCCAATGGCAAATATATCCCATCTGGTAGATGCTATTTGGCAGTCCGCCACCTTTTCTCCGCAAAAGCTGACTTCGTACAACTAGTTCACTGTACAAGAATTCCGGACACACCGAAATCACGAAATAGATATACTCATAACGAATGGTTTTCTCAAGGATATTCTTAAAAATTACTTTACTCGCCGAAATATTTCGCACTTTCAAAGAACTTTTCTATTTTCCCGACCCAGTGACTTCGTAACTGAAACAAAATGCACAAATATATCAAACAGGCATCGCAAAGAGCTTAACTGTTTTCCTCTTTCACAGTTAGATGTCATCTAATATTAACACAAAATTATTCAGCTCCAGATAGAAAATTCTTTATGAGCTGAGATTTAGGAGCTGCCCTGAGCGTTACCTCCAAACTTGCTCCAGTCGGTCTATTATATTCTCTGTCTTTTCAGCAACTTCAACATCGACACCGACCACGCCCACCACAGGTAGGCTTGTCTTGCGTAGAAAATACATCAGTCGAATGGGTTTAATCTAGGAAACTAACTAGGCTTGTGTTCAGC